CCTGTATTTTTGGATATTTTTTTCATAAACCCTGACCCAGTTGCTATGTCCCTTTTTGTATGAAATATTTGGATGACAATAAACGTTTTGAGACTCTTCTGGCTCCATGTTCCTGATGGTGTTCTGGGAATACGGGACTTGGTTCTCCACTGGGCTGTCAGGGAACCTGCCTTGGGGGGAGGTGGGGAGTCTGCACAGGAAGTGGGGGCGAGGGAAATGGGGCAGGTGAATTGCTTGCTGCTGTCTGGACTGCCCTTAGCTCTCTCTCTGTTGTGAGTGGTTCCTCTACCACCTTCTAGAATGAACCGGTCCCTGCCCTTTTTGTGTGTGTATCTGTGCCACTGTGTGTATTCATGTGGTAGCCACCTATGCTGCACCTACTGTCTACACAGGCAATGGGCTGTGGGTGGTGAGGTGATGGGAAGTTTACAGACTGCTGGGAGAGACAGTTACCGCACAGGAGAGACAGAATGTGATCCAGGATGTGCTGGGGTGGGCCTGAGTGGAGAGGCCTTGGCATTGAGATCTGAGCACTGGGGCCGGGGAGGGATCGGGGAGAAGGCCAGCATGTCTGGGCCCGTGTGTGAGGGGTGTAGCTCAAGTTCACTTTGGAGAGGGGAGCAGAGACCACATCGGAATGACTCCTAGCCTGGTTCCTTGGCTGAGTTGAGGGACTGCAGTCTCTCTTGCATCACACATCTCACTGCCTGTCTTTCTCCTCCTTGCAGGTGGCTCCTGCACTGGCTCCTGCAAATGCAAGGACTGCAAATACACCTCCTGCAAGAAGAGTGAATGAGGGCCCTTCCTGGGAAGCTGGGGGCTGGGGAGTGTGAGGAGGGAGCCCTGAGCTGGTTGGGAGAGGAGGGATCAGGAGAATTGGTCTTCCTGTGCCCCTGGGAAGCGGTCACTGCCTCTGCAGGTTCTCTGCCCTGCCCTGTCCCGGGCTCAGATGGGCAGGCCAGCCTTCTCCTGGTGAAACCCAAGCCCTAGCCGTCTTACTAATTGTTTCTCCATGGAGCATGCTCTTTGTCCTCATGGTCCTTTGAAGCTGAGGGCTGTGCTAGGCCTGCTGTTGGGCAGGGAGGTGGCTGGCAGTCATGGCTGACCCCTCATTTTCCCTGCTGTCCCCAGGCTGCTGCTCATGCTGCCCCACGGACTGTGCCCATTGCGCCCAGGGCGGCACCTGCAGGGAGCCTGGACAAGTGCAGCTGCTATGTGTGAAGTCGGGGGAGAGCCTGCTCCCCAAGTAACCAGAGCAACATGTTCAACCCGCTTTTTTTTCCTTTTTTTCAGTCCACCCTGGGCCTTTGGCCACACTCTCTTGCTGTGAAATATGTGATGAAAGATAAGAAAAGTGGTTGAGTTTGCTCTGAGTCCGGCTTCTTTCCTGTGCAAAAAGAGTGAGGAATTCTGTGCCCACAGGGCTGGGTTGGAGACTGGGCTTGATCTTCAGAGACTTGAGTTCTAGATGGAACAATTAGTCTCCCAAAAAGATCAGTGTCTTGAGGCAAGAAGGTGATGTCACTGAGGGGCAGCTGCTGTCAGTGCCAGAGCCCCAGGGCACAGGCTGTGAGGGCCGCTTGCTGCTGAAGCACTGGGGGGAGGACCACTGTTTAGCTTCTCACATTCACGGACATCAACTGTGGTCAAATAAAGTGAATTATTCAGAAAAAGTTTGCCCTGGCCGGTTTGGCTCAGTAGATAGAGTGGACTGTGGACTGAAGGGTCCTGGGTTTGATTCTGATCAAGGGCACATGCCCAGGTGGTGGGCTAGACCCCAGGGAGGTGGGGGCAGGAGGCAGCCAATCAATGATTCTCTCTCATCCTTGATGTTTCAATCTCTCTCTCCAAGAACCGATTTATATGTATCATCCACAGCACAGGGGACAGTTTTCTGCTTGCAGACAAGCCCACCAGGCTTGCGGTGCCTGGCACTGTCCCTATCGACCACGTGACCATGAAACCAGTGGCCCCAGGAGGGTAGCCTTTCTCCCACCAAGAAGGATCCGCCCTCGGGATGTAATGCAGGAGAAAACAGGCCGTGTCCCTTGCAGATCCGGAAGGGCTCACCATGTCCGCCACCACCTGCAGCATCTGCCTACTGAATTTTTAAAGCTCATCTTTCCTTGACTGTATTACTATGAAAAGCAAACTCCTCACCACGACTGAAAATGAGAATCGGTTCACTGCCAGACCTAGAACAGAGCCCCAGGTCACAGACATGTGTGTCCCTCCCAGGATTCAGCTGGACACGGGGAGTGGTGAAGGACAGACCTCTGGTCTTTTTTTAAATGTTTCATTGGTTTTTTACAGAGAGTAAGGGAGAGGGATGGAGAGTTAGAAACATCAATAAGAGAGAGGCATGGATCAGCTGCCTCCTGCACACCCCCTACTGGGGATGTGCCCTAAACTAGGGTACATACATGCCCTTGATGGGAATCGAACCTGGGACCCTTCAGTCCCCAGGCTGATGCTCTATCCACTGAGCCAAACCAGCAGGGCCAAAGGGAAGGTTCTTTCTCTTTCCTTTGGCAAGTGACTGGAGTCAGATCCCGGGCACCACTTCCCACACGCGACTAGGCTGTTCATAAACTCTTTGTGCCATGTGTAGTCCTGGAATTTCCCTTTAGAGTTGGTGGGGTTTAAAGAGTGAAAGTGCTGAAGCAAGGCTGGCACTGACTAACCCTCATGTAACTGCCAGGAACACCAAAAGGGAAATAACATCGTTTCTTACTTGTGATTTATGCCGGGTCAGCCTAGTGCCTAAAAAGGATCCCTTCCTGGGGGGGCGGGATTGCATCCCAGGCCGTGGGAACCTCCATCCTGGACGGGGGTGGACCCGCTCCGCTGAGCGAACCCTGGAAAGTTCAGCCAAAGGAAGATCAGGACAACATGCCCCCTCACCGCTCCAGTGGGGAGAAGGGAAGAAAGGGGGAAGGGGCCGCTCTGTGCTCCCGCCCGCGTCGCTGTAAACAGGAAGCAAGGAAGGAGGGGCATCTGTGCGGGGACAGGGGGGTGAGGCAGAGGCAGGGGGTGCGGGTGAAGGTCACAGCCACCCCGTTTCTGCACACAACTCCGGGCCTCCAGCCAATGAGGGAAGTGTCACAAGGCTGGGTTTGCACACGGGCTCAGAAAAGGGTGAACCTGCAGACACAGACGAGGGGGCGAGGGGTGGGGCGGGCTTCTAGGACTCAGGGGCTGAGTTCCTGGAACAGCGGGAATAGGAGTGGCTGCCCCCTGGGGATAATAGGGCTGGGCCCGGGAGCTGGGACACCATGTGCCCGGCACCCAGCTCCTCCACGTGATCGGGGGCCCCGTGTGCAGCCCCCGCGGTGCGCCCGGAGGTCAAGCCCCAGGGAAGCGG